ACTGTAAACCTAAAAATTTACAGCCAATTTTGAAAGAGATGCATCTTAGCTCAGGAAATTGTTAGTGAGTATGTCAATGCTGTTGTAATGAAATGCATCTTCCAAGTATGTGGTTATTAAATAAATAATTTTTAAAAATCCAAAAATAAGATAAAAAGTTAACAACAGAATGGGTTGAGAGTCTCATTAGCTTAAAAACTTGGTTGTTTTTAAAATTACTGATACTTGCAGAGAAATAAAGTCGTCTAGACATCTACTTACCCTTATTCTAAACTCTGATTAGACTTGGCAAAAGTCTAATTGGAAGCCAAGCCAATCAACACAGTCCTATGGCTTGCAGATTTTACGCCTCTGGCAATAACACTTCTTAAAAAAGGAATCAGAATTATATACTGCCTTCTCTTCACCTTGGGCCAGTGAAATCACTATCCCAGAGATTTTACATGTGGCTTCAAGAATGTTGTTCCTGAGTTGGTAGATAACACTTCTTTTCCCACCAACCCACTTACTGACATCCCAAATCTGGCTCTGCCGACTTTCACTGGGTCACCCGAAATAGGCTGGACTGCACCTCCATACTGAATGGGCTGTGCTAAATGTGATTGAGGTTGGGATTCTACAAGTGAGGCCATGAAATGAGCAGACTATTTTGGTGGTGGTAGTAGCTACTCTGGGTGTTTTCTCTAGGTAACAGCATCACTGAACTCCTAGTGCAGATCTATTGTAGTCTAAATTCTCTATCAACAGACACACACACCCCCTTTTTGAAGATAGCAGAGAGGTGGCCAAGTTCACCCTTCTTTGTTTTGCTGATTTTTGTCTTTCATTATTCATTTTTTTAATCTGAAGGGATCACTTCAGATAATTTTCGAAGAAAGAGTTGGCAATAATACAGAGCAGATTTGAGGAGTGATAGATTTTCCTACCCCAAACCCTACCAGGTGTTTATCTGGTGCTGAACCAATGTATGTAACCAAATTATCTTCTAGCATTTCCTAGTCATATGGGGACTACATACCAAAATATAAAGAAGACTTTCCCATAATTACAGATGTGAAAAATTCAATTTTGTACCAAAGTTAGAATACTTCCTCTTCCATGGAACCTGAATATTAACACCTTTTGGAATTAAAATGAGTTTTTTCAAATAAGAAAATACTTATTTGATTTAGAAGAATGGTCAGTGAAGCTACTCTAACTGGCATCTGGATCCATCTTCCTGCTGTGCTACTGACCTGCCTCCCACCCCATCCATCCACATAGACATGTGGTGTCACTACTCACGTCACTGGCGATGTCTCTGGAGGCCTTGGCAGCCACAATGGGGATGGCGTCAACTCGCAGGTCATAGCCTTTCTTCTTTGCTTCTTCATTGGCGAGTTTATACAGACTCTGAAGAAAGAGAGTCAGTCAGTAAAAGGAGGAAGGCTTTGATAGCAGTAATTTGGAGATTATCAAGTATTTCTACCATGTTATTTTAAATGATAGGAACTGGAAACTAAGTTGTTGGCCATAGTGAAAAGTAAATGAATTATGTTATATACTATTATAGTGTCAGAAATGAGAAGTAACAATGGGTATTAAATATATTGATCTATTAGATGTATTATCACTTATATATTTATATATCATTTAAATGTCACATATATCATTGATAAACTTACCAACATAGATCAGTATAATCTATTAAAACAGATTAGTAGACAAAGCATAATCCATACACACTGTTAAATGAAAACAAATGATAGAGCGATATATTTAAGGCTATTCATTTTATTTTTAAGTCATACTTTTATTCATTCCTTTACTACATAAAATGTTATTATAACATAATATTTTGTCATGTTTAAAAAAATTAAATATAGCCGGGCATAGTGGCACATGCCTTTAAGTCCAGCACTTGGGAGGCAGAGGCAGGCTAATCTCTGTGAGTTTGAGGCCAGCCTGGTCTACATAGAAAGTTCCAGGCTAGCTTGAGCTACAGGGAGACCCTGTCTCAAAATGATCAAAAATAAATAAATAAATAAGTAAATAAATAAATAAATACCTTAAATGCAGCCTAAAACTGGACCATAATCTCAATTCTAAGATCCTAAATTTTGGTTCTATCATATTAGTAAAATGTATTTGTAAAGTTGCATTTTACTATTGATAAACTAGTGATCAGAGTTGTTGATGGAGAATACTTCTATAAAAGAACCTCAGTTACTTTACCCCAGACCTTTCTCCACCTCTTTCTTCACTCTGCTGTAGAGCGGAGCAGCGATCCATCTGGCTGTTGGGGATAGATCAGTGGGCATGCACAGCTCAGCTCTCTTTTCTAGGAATGAATCTTGTGTCCTCTAAGAAGCGCCTCACCTCTGATGGTGGCAGGCTGCTTGCTCTGATGCAGCCTGTTCCTGGGCACAGCAGCCTGATGCTGGTGTTCAGTGAGTAGCTCACCTGGCTCTCATACGAATGCTGTATCCTTTAATCTAATTTTAATAGTTTTTTTTTATAAAGTAATATTTTGACTTTTGTTTCTTCTCCTTCAACTTATCTCTCAATTTCATTCAGGACCAGTACGGGGAAGAGCTGTGTTAGTAAAGGCCTCCTTGCTAGGACGGCCAGATTTAACCAATTAAAACACAGCACATCCAGTTGAACTTGGCAAATGACAAAGAATGCTTTGGTATAAATAATGAGCCAGTGTTTTATCTGGCAAACTACCCCTTAGAAGTGCCAAAACCACTACACAGTCTGTTGATTCACTCTGGGAATAACCACAATGTGAAAAAAACAAACAACAAAAAACAAAAAACAAAAACAATGTGAGTTCAGTTTGCTTGCAGAATCTTATGAGATGAATATCCAATTCAGAAATGAACAGTGGATGGTCCGAATGTTCGTATGAAAGAACCACACATACCATGTGCCTACCTCTCCCACGAGCCTCCACTAGACCCACAACACTGCTGTAGAAAGCTGAGCAACAAAGGCAACTGTGCAGCGACAGAGTTCCGTCCCTACCTCGCTGTAGTTGATCTTGTTTTGTCTTGCCAGCATGATCTCTGGTGTGTCTGGCATTATATGAACTTGAGTCTTATCTTTGTCCCAGGCCTCTGTGTATAAACGCTATAAGAAAAGATAAGATGTTGACTGAAAACCATTTAAGAGAGGCACCACAAAAATGTCAAATTAAAATAGGATTATTATCTAATTAGGAAAAATCAGCAATATCTAGATATAAAGCATTCTCCTAGACATTTGGGTCTTATTGATAGTTATCAAGGTTAAAACTTCAAATAATAGAGAGCCCTTAGCAGATTTCAAGAATAATTTAAAAATTAAATATAATCTTCTAGGAATAACTCTGACTCCACAAGTCATTAAAGTATAATGGCATGCCTGGCATTTTGAGAAGTGTGAGGTAGCTGGGTCTCACCTTGTTCATGTTGAGGGCATTGTTTTTGGCCAGCACTTGCTCCAGAGAGTCAGTCACACTGGTGAACTTCAGCTTGTCTGGAGGCTGGCGGTAGATGTTGTCACTCAGGATCTCTGTAGCTCTCTTGCACTTTTCCACATCCAGAGACCCGATGGGGACCCAGCCAATGCCTCTCAGCCACTGGAGATCTGACTTGTACACATTCTGAGAATAGAAAAAAGTCGGAGATGCTTCATCATAGGTAAAGTGTAGTATAAAGTGCATTTTCTGTGAAGATGCAAATGGCATCAATAATAGAGATTCCCTTTTGTTTTCATAGAAAACAAGTATTGTATTAGGCAGCTCTATTGTATTAGAGCAACTATGTTTAAAAATGACCCAAAAGTGTTGCCTTGCAATAGTAAAAAAATGTTCAGGGGCTGGAGAGATGGATCAGCAGTTGTACTGACTGCTCTTGCAGAGGACCCAGGTTTGATTCCCAGCACCCACATAGTGGCTAAAAAATGTCCATAACTTTAGTTCCAGGGGATTTGACACTTTCTTCTGACCTCTTCTGGCACTGCACAACACGGGTGCGCTTTCATACATGCAGGCAATACACTCATACACATAAAATTGAAAAATATTTAAAAAATACGTCAAATATTTCAACCATTAAGAGAGGAATGATCCCAAATAGCACCTGTCAGTCAGTTCAGTGACTGTTTTTATAATAATGTACCCAGGAAAGCATCCAGAATGACAGGAGACCAGGAACAGGCTATCAATAAATGCATTTCAGGCCTCAGCTAAATGAGACATTTCACAGCTATTGAAAACTTTGCTTTCTTTTTTAAAAAAATGTATTTAATAACCACATAATTAGTAGAAGAATTTCATTACAACAGCATTGGAAAACTTTGCTTTCTAAGAGTATTGATGCCATGTAGAAATGTTATTAATATATATTTTAATGTAAAGTAGCATCCGAAGCAATGTGGGTGGGTAAATTACACAAATAGAGGTTCTCAGCCATCGGATTGGCTTGCGTCATTACTGCCTTCTATGTACCTTTTCTCATATTTCAAAATATCTTCTTTTTAAAATGGAGTGACAAAGTGACAAGTGGCACCCAAAAGGATAAAGAACCTCTGATGCTCCCAAACAAGACTGTGGCCAGCTGTCACACAATCCAAAATTCAGGACAATAAATGAGTGTGTCACTGGGCCAAGGTCTCAGTCACTTCCCCTCCAAATTCTCAGGATAGGAAGCATGGACCAATATGTAGAATCATCTTCCCTTATAGCCCTCACCTCATTTTTAGTTTTTTTTTCTGCTATTTTATATGCTCTGTAAGTATGCTGAACTACTCCCTGACAATGGTTCTGGACCTCAGGTCAGCTTACTGGATGAATTTCAACAGTACTAGCAGCTGAGGGGAAAATATAAACTGGAATTTCATAGACAACAGCCTCCTGGGGCAGTCCTGTATTATTTATTTTATTTATTTATTTTGCTTGGTTCTTCATGAACCACAGTGAGACTGGAAAACAGCAGCACTTATGCCTCTGGAGTGGATGCTTCCTGCAGTATTGGGATCAGTCATGGAGGGAAAAAGACAATCTAGAAAAAGTTCCCAACAACAGATACTAAGCGCTCTGCCAATGTTGCTGTGCTATGGGTGGCACAAGCCCTTCTTAACTATCTTTCTTCTTGGCGGCAGTCACAAGCATGGGGATGTATGTGCCAAAGCTGTAGAACAGTTATAACTTTGTAGGTGGCTGTACAGTTTTGAGGAACAGCTATTAATGTATAATTGTTGTGCATTTATCTTATTCTCCAAGGCTCTCTAATATTTAAAAATTGTCCTAAATATTTGTTTTTTAAAAAAATATTTTATTATTTTTATTTCATGTGTATGAGTGTATTACCTGCATGTATGTGAGTACACCTGTGTCATGCAATGCCTTGAGGAGGTCAGAAGAGGGCCTCGGATTCCCCTGGAACTAGAGTTAAGGACAGTTGGTAGCTGCCATGTGGGTGCTGGAAATCGAACCCAGGTCCTCTGCAAGAGCAGTCAGTGCTCTTAACTGCTGAGCTATCTCTCCAGCCCCTACCCCAAATATTTGTAAAACAGTGCAGGAAATGTGCTTCTCACATCCAGATCTAGGACATATCCAGATCTACTTCCAAAAGACACTAGGTTTGGTTTCTAGCATCTGACAAGGAGCAAATGTCAGCAAAACTGTTCAATAGCTTGCAAACACAGCCACTTTCATTTTATAAGAAGAGCATGTAGTATTCTGCATTGTTAGCATGCTAATAACTCTACGCTTCTTTCATTTGCCAAGGAAACCAACAGCAATTCTAAAGTAATATTTTCACATGTGTGGTGTGGGGAATAGGATCTAAGGTCTCATGAATGCCAGACAAGCATGTTGCCTCTGGGTGACAGCTCTAGCTTTCTGTAGGGTTTTTTGGTCTTTTTGAGACAGGGTCTCCCTGTAGACCCAGCTGTCCTGGAACTCACTATGTAGACCAGGCTGGCCTTGAACTCACAGAGATCCGCCTGCCTCTGCCTCCCAAGTGCTGGGATTAAAGGCGTGCGACACCACGCCCGGCTGTAGTAGTTTTTAAAATATAAATTTATTCTTAAATTCTCATTCTAAAGAATAAAAGATATTTCCCACTGGAGACCCTTGACTCAAACATTGCTTAATTTTAATTTTGTCTTTATAAAACCAAGTGCAATTAAGAAATAGCATTTACTTATAAAAGACACTAGTGTATTAAAATATTTTATTTTTATTATTTTATGAGCATGAGTGTATTGCCTGCAAGTGCATAAGTGCACCCATGTCATATAATGCCCAAAGAGGTCAGAAGAAGGTGTCGAATTCTCCTGGAACTGGAGTTATGGATAGTTGTTAGCCACCATGTGGGTGATGGGAATCAAATCCAGGTCCTCTGCAAGAGCAATCAGTACTCTTAACCACTGAGTCATCTCTGCAGCCCCAAGACTACTAATGTATTAATGATAAATAAATATATTTGAAACGGCTTAAAACGTTATTTATCAACAAATAAGTTTTAGCCTGAATAGGCCAATGGGAACATACATAAGAGCTAATGCTCAAAATCTACGTGTAGATACTGTACTCACATCACTCTGAAGGTCATAGGCCTGCCGAGCACGGATCACATCGTTCTGGTCAGGCAGGCACGTCCACTGATGCAGGTAGTTCTTATAGTCCACGTCACTGACCAAGGTCTGGCATTGCTTGGCCAGCACCACCCCCAGCATGTCCACTGGGCTGCTGAACTTGGTCTTCCACTTCTCAAAGTCCTTCTTGTACTCCCTGTCACTCTGGATCTTGGCCACATGCATGGACCACACCATCTTGGGGTCATCTTCGATGTTCCGGGCTCCAATGTGGTGGCCCAGCTGCTTTCGGTAACCATCTTTGTATTTGTACTGAAATTAAAAATCACAAATCAGGCTTTTATTGCAAACACTGATGCTGCAAATTCGTACAAGGTCCTATTACTTTTGTCATAGTTTAACTGATTTTTGCTCATAAGCACCAACTCCAGCCAGCATCATGGCTTTACCCTCAAAGCCTGTGGTTATAGTAGGATAGATGGAATTCATACATCTGGGGTACACCCCTCAAGCCACTGATGGCCTCGTGCTAAATTATACTTCTGAAGGCAGGAAACACACTGGGGAGAGTCACTCATGGAAGTCAGGGAGAGTCACTAGAACTGCGGAACCTGAAGAATTGGATCTCACACACTGAAAACATGTCAGCAAAGGAATGCGCTTGCCTGCATGGTATGTTTACCAAGCTGTAAAATGGCTGAAAGTGGCTGTCTCCACAAAGTACTCTAGGTCAATTTCTGCCCAGAGTAGTGACAAGGGAGACATCATCTCCCACTGAATCCACACGTTCAGTGTTATTGAAAATTTTTGCCATTATTGTGAAAACTGATTGTATTATTAAGCTGCCATAGCAACCCATCTGGCTAGATCATGCTCTTAATAAGGTTGTGCGCTCTGTTTTCCCATGGGCCAACAGTGTTTTTATTATGAGTTCAGTGACTTCATAGTGAAACCTACACCAGTCGTCCTCAACACATGCTTCCACTTTCAAAGACAATTGAGCTAGAAAGTGTGGGCGAATCAAGAGGAAGGAATCAATTGGGCACAGTGGGAAGGAATGAGTTTGTCTAGAGTTTCAACTTCATCATTCACTAAGACTTTGATTTCAGAAAAACTGCTTGATCAAGTCACAACATGGAGACAATGGTAACACTTAGTCTTAAGTAATTAGAAAGAACAAGCAAGATAATGCATAGAAAACTCTTCACTCAGTTCTCAAAACTTCTTATTTCATCATTATTGGTGACATAAATCCATTTGCTGAGGCAGGGAAGGGGTTAATATGCACAAAATAAAGTGAGTCACTAATATTTCAGTAGAAAGAACAGGCTGTCACCATATTTGTGAATAGTGAGCCTTGAAATTTTCAACAGAGGTCTGTTCCTCGAGAGCACTGGAGGTACCAAGAAAGCGGGATAGTTTACCCTGGGGTGGGAAAGTTAGGGGGTGTCACAAAGCAGAGCCAGGAGCTATTGTAGGTACAAGTCTGAGTCAGCAGCCCCCCTCTGGTACTGATCTTTCTTTTCATAACCTGGCAAGGGTGAATTTTATCAACAAATGTTACATGCATTTTTAAATATTATACATTAAAATGTCACATAAAATGAGGCCCTGATGCTTATCAGGAAAACAGAGACTTGCGAGTTATACTAGCTGTATTTCTATGAGCCTGGTGATCATTTTTATATAAATATCTCCAAGTCTGCAGCTGTGTCTAGCACTCTATATATGCTTGAACTTGCTCTGTTCCTGGTGAACCAGTTTTTACTGACAACACTGTATCCTCAGGTTACAATCTCCTTCCATAAATACCAAATTTTCCATTCCCTCCAAAACCAGGTTTCTGAAAAATTCCATTCAAACACATCAAAATGTATTTTCTGAAGGCCAAAGAGTAAAGAAAACATTCTCGTGAGTGTGTGTGTGTGTGTGTGTGCGTGTGTGTATGTGTTGTATGTTTTTGTATGCATGTGTATCCCACCCATGCCTGAGGTTGGTGGTGAGTGTCTTCTCTGGTTACTCTCCTCATGTTTTTTGAGCCAGAGTCTCTCACTGAACCTGGAGTTCACCACTCCAATTAGATTGGCTGGCCAAAGGGCCCTAGGAGCTTTTGTTTCCCTGGCCTACCTGCCTAGCACTAGGATTACAGAAATATTGCCATGCTTGGAGGTTACTTGGATGCCAGGGATCCAAACTCAGGTCCTCATGCTTGTACAGGAAGTACTTTACCCACTGAGCTACCTCCCCTGTCCCTGATATTCCCTCCTTGACTTTACCCCAGAGGCCTCAGATTTCTATAAATGTGCTTGTCCAGAGGAGAGTCTACAATACTATGAACCACAGACTATTTGGAGTAGTGAGGACAGGCTTTTCTTTGACATAATGGAAACCACATGCACCATTATGGACTGCTAGCACTCCATTGAGGTGGGTGCACATTGCTTTGAAGAAAAGGAAGCCATTTCCATCCACATCTTTCCTGATTTATGCATGGGCCCCTGAAGGTCCAGACAGATTGGAAAAGATTTGGTAACTAGAGAAGTGACAGGGGGTGAGAAAGTATATTTTGTAAAAGACTGCAAACTTGACTCTGACTTTAAATCCTTGCCTTGGGCAATGTGTGCATTGCAGAGTTTAAATCATGTTAGTAGTTCAAGTCAGATTGAGGGTGAAAGGCTACACAGCTCTAAGAATTAGGACTGGATTGTTTTGGTAAAAAACATTTTCTAACTTGGCCCAACATAAATCAGTCCTAATGAGGCACCTGTGGTGATAGGCAGGTCCTGTTCTATACTGATCGTAACTCAAAGTATTTTATCCATTTTGGAGTTGTATTTGATCAGGGTAAGGAATGTCTAAGAATCCAGGCTGTAATCTAAAGGACTGCAAAGATAACCCAGGGTGGGGCTGACAGGGGGACTCCAGTGACTATCTCTACCTCCGTGGATGAGCACACATTGGCACGGCTCACTTCAGAGATCTTTGTGGATTTTCAGAAAGACATATTGTGACTTAATTCATGAGAAGCACTTTTAAAGCATTTTTTTATTTATTATTTTTATTTTATATGTATGAGTGTATTGCCTGCATGTAAGTGAATGCACCCGTGTCATGCACCT